CATTACTCCATGTACAACTTTAGGCAGATCATCTAGACCTTGTGATCACAATTTCTGCATATTTAGTATCAGGTTCATAGTGATTTGAACACTAGAATGGACTTTTATAAAAATTAAATGAACAGGTCTTTATTAACTGCTAATATCAGCTCAACAGGCATAAAAATCTGCACATCTCTCATAATTAACAACTATTTGATAAGTGACAAATTACACAAAATTTCTTATTTGTCTTACAAATGTTAAGTTCCTAATGGTTTTGTCAAAAGTGCCATGCAGCCAAGAAATGTAGTACCCATGCTTTCATACCATAGGAACACAGTTTTCCCCATTGTTGAATATGTTGCAATTTTCTGAAGCTCTGGGGTCCTCCTTGACATAAATGAAAGCTTTGGTGATATAAAAGACATACTCAAGATAGCTTCCTTAAGTTTAGACTTTGAAGAAAACCCTAACACTGGTTTGGGAAAAGGTGTTAATTAACACCTTTCAAAAGCAAAAGAGTTTATTGAGAAGGAGTAATGAATTCTGAATTCACCTGGGTTTTTAACCTCAGCTGTTGTAACAGAGAATCTGCAGGAAAAATTTTCTTCCTATGCAGAGAAATGTCCCACAGGGCAATGACTTGTTCAGGGTTTTGAATAACAAGAGGGACGTATGCCTTAGGGAGAAGCTTTTGGGTTATATGAATATCCCCCACAGCGTTGTTTTTCAGAAGGTGCAACCCTGAGCTGGAGGAGGTGTTTTTTCAAATATTTTGTCCTGGCTTGGGGGCTGGTGCTTCACTTTTTCCTGCTGTCTTGTCTGAGGGCAGAACTTCAGTCTCCATCATCAATCCTCCAGCCTGTGTTTGGGGTGCCCATAAAGAGACTGTCTTTATAAAAGATCCCATCCAGGTGAGCTCAAGAGTTCAAGCAAAGCTGCAGCAAAGGCCCAGAGAGAATGGAAGCTGAAAAAGTTTGCTTGAAGTTACCTAAGAGCAAATTCAACTTAGGTCAGAGTGGAGAGAATGTAGTGGATGGTTCTTGCTTGTTTAATTTATGTATTTACTTATATGTTAAATAAAGAAATATCCCCTGAACTCAGTGATGCAAGGATGATCACTGACATTCAAGTGATAGTAATGGAAGCTTAATTATAACAGGGAAACAGGAATAAAGTGGTACCAGGTAACTTTGAACATATGTCAAGGGCCTTTGCAAATCAAGGGGAGAATAGACATAGGATTATCAGGTGTGAAGAAATATAAATTGAAGTGGGGTATATCTTCTCTTACTTTTATGATGGGGCATTTTAGAATGTGCTTCCTTACTGATAAGAGAGCTTGAGACCAGAGTTTTACTTGGAAATCCTAACTTGCAATATCAGTACATGAGGAACAGCATACATCTGCAATTATTTTCCCTCATGTGAGGCAGTCTGATGAAAAAACTTTGAAAGAAGAAAAAAAATATTATAACAAACTCTGCTTGCAATTATTTCCTTACTGGTGAATCTGAATATATTCGTTAGCCACTTAGTTTATTGCAAATTGCCCATGTGAGTTCTTTGCATTTACAAAATGGAGTTAAGTATTGTTTTTAATTACATTTTTTTATTTTAGGAAAAAATAAAAAAACATAATGAGAGAATAATGATAGTTAATACACCATGTATCATTATTTTCCCTTAAAGTGAAAGACATACACTTAGAGTATAAGACATAAACCAAATAGATTCTTAGAAAAAAAGAAACAAACTGATAATAACACAATTCCTTTTTTTCAAGTACAAGAATTGGAGGTTTTAACCACCGTTTCTATTTGCCATTTAGGTTTTAAAATTTACAGATATATTCCTCCAATATATCTATATCTATGTCTTTGTCCATTTCCATGTTCATATCCATATCTATATCTATATCTGTGTATCTACATTTAGGCTTTTCTGATAGATCAATTTCTAGAAGTTATATTACTTTTGGTCATCATTTAGAAGGCATTATATCCATCTCTCCATAAGTATTCATAAGGAATTTATTGATTTATTTTTGTAGTGTTGGAGATTGAACCAAGGCCTTGTGTATATCTTGTGTAATCCTGAGCTATATCTCTACCTTAAATGATATAACTTTAACTCAATTATATGCCACTCTCTTATAGATCTTTGTAAATTTGTTATTAATCCATGCAAACTCATTAAATTTTTGCTATTTCATCTCCTAATTTAGTTGTTTGTTAATTCTTCTTTTTGATTTTTTAATAGTGCTCTTTTTATACCATTCTATTGAAACTGTTTATTTTTTGAACCTGGTTTTATTGCCCTTCCCTGGCATGTTTTTTATCTCATAGGTTCTCATTTTTTAAAATTTGTTTCTACAAATACAAAGCATATTTATTCAAACACATTTGTAAAAATGCAAAACTAAACAAAGCAGGTGAAATATGTTCATTTGGATCTTTAATTATAAGGATAAAGACAGTGTATTATGAAATAAGTGTAGTATGACACAGTATTCTCTGGGATTAATTATATGGAGAATATTTTTTAGTGTAAAAGAACAGATTTCTCTTTATTTTATAGTATAGGATTTTATAATTAACAATGGGGAAACCTTTACAAACGGAGAATAATCATAATGAAGACGAGTATATCATATCCATTGAGATTTGTTAAAAAAATAAAGAAAGATCAAAACCTGAAGCCTCAGAATAACAAGGAACAAATGCCACAAAAGAAAAATCACAGAGGGATTTCTTGACCTACTGTATGACTCTATAAAAACCAATATTCCAGACAAATATGGACTAGACATAGAAAAAGCACTCTTTCCTTCCTATAAAACACCTAAATTCAGTTGCTTTTTGTGTATTATTTCTTTTGAATTGTTGGTTTATTCATTTTGCTCATTTTTTCTATTTGGGTATTCAATCTGTAGTTGTCTTGACACCACAAATATAGCAGAACTTTTGTCTTTTGGATGCATTCATTTGTGTCATTTATTGCTTTTCTTGGGTATAAAGGGAGTTGGAACATTGCCATAAATAAGGAAGTTGTTTCTTACTCATATTCTCTCAAGAATCATCTGAGCTCATTATATCTTTTTTTAACTCCTAAGGCCTATATAATTCTGTTCACTGTTTATCGAGCAGATATTTTATGGTTCAAAAATGTTTCTTTAAATAGAGGGGAGATAACAGCCTTACCCAAATGGAAATACAATCTGATGTTGACAGTTTGCTTTGTTTTCATCGCTCTCTAATAGTGTGCATAGGTGTGAGAAAACCATGGCATTTACATGGCCCCAGGAGGCCTCACTGTACTTCCTGTGTCTGAGCTGTGATGTACTCAGTGGGGTGAGCACCCATACATGTGCATGTGTGTGTGTGTCTGTGTGTGTGTGTGTGTGTGTGCATACAAGTAACTTAGGAGTGAGAGCAGGGTTCAGAGTAATGGTACTTAGGGGTTAACACATCACAAAAGATGGCCATAATAGAGAAGCCAGAATTCACAGCAATATAGAGAAGTAACAAAAGGCTGATGACTTTTTAGGGGAGAATTTGGAGCAAATTTATGAAAATAAAAACTACAACAGCTGGAAAGAGAGACTCCTTTTGTCTTCAAATTTCAGCAGCAATAAGGCTACATACTTTTTGGGGGTGCCAGGAATCAAAATCAGGAATTTGGTGAAGGAATTGAATGCCTTGTGCATTCCAAGTAAACACTGTATCACAGAGCTATACCTGCAACCTTTTTTTCTCCTTTTGAGATGGGGTCTCACTATGTTACAAGGGCCGACCTTTAACCCCTGGGTTCAACTAATCTTTCAACTTCCCCTCCAAAGTAGGATTGCATGCCTCTGCACAGCTCAGTCATCATTCTCTGACACCATTTTCTCTCACTCTCACCCTTTCTCACTTCTCACTCCTCTCCACACAGGCTCCCTTGTTAGTGTTGAACTACTAAGAGAAGAATCATTTCCAAGGCCATCTACTGTTCCTCATATGAGCCACACACAGTCCCAGATGCCCTCCTGGCTCCAGGCCTAGCTTCCTTGGGGTTTCTGTGCAAGTGTCACATTGTCCCAGTTTTCTGTGAATAACCAGCAAAATAGAGCCCTATCAATTCTCTCCTTTTCATCTTCTTTCATTTTCTTCAACACATTTTCTATCATTGGATCTTGAATAATCCCATAACTGAACATGTATTACAGGCATAGTCCCCAGAGTAGGTAGAACTATTGCCAGATGGTAGTTTTTAAAAGATTGGGCTTAGAAGGGGGGTGTCTTTAGATCATTTGTACCATGGCCTTGAAGGATATTTGGGACCTCTAGCCTTCTGTTAACTCTATTCTGCTTCCTGATCATGATTGGGAGTGGATTTGCTCTGCCATGCACTCCTACCATGATCTATGGATTCACGTCATGCCAAACTTTATGGGGCAAACCCATCATGGAATTTCAAAAACTGACCCAACATAAGTCTTTTCTCTTTACAAGTTGACAAGTTGAAGTACATGTTATAGAGATGGAAAGCTGACTAACACAGCACTTGCCATCATCTGACAAAATATAGAATTTAAAAAAAAATTTGTATTCCCTATCCATCATTTTACTGTGGAGATTTTGTTTTTCTTCACTGTTTATTAGTTGTCTACACAGTGCCTGGGACAAGAGCTATTTTCAGTTTTATTCCTCGAATGCATAAAAGAATTTTTCATTAAATTTTGGAATCTATGACCTTCGTAAGCATGAGACAGGACTTATTAATCAGGCATTATACAGCACAAGGAATCTCCTAAAGGGGATAAGGTCATACCAAAATATAGAAATTATTTTTCTGACTGTAGAAGATATGGAATGGAAGCGTAACTCAGTAGTAGAGCACTTAACTAGCACGTGAGAGGCCATGATTCCAATTCACATTACTGCAAAAGGTTAACGTTTATGACAGGTTAGTAAAACATTCCTTGGTCATGATCTTTATCTCTCCCCTTTTGTTTTGGAAGTCATACCCAACACATGGAGCCAGGAAATGTTACACAACTTTCAGAATTTCTTCTTCTGGGATTTTCAGAGCAGCAAGATCTGGAGCCTCTCATGTTTGGACTTTTCCTCTCCATGTACTTGACAACTGTGCTTGGGAACCTGTTCATCATCCTAGCCATCATCTCACACTCCCATCTGCACACACCAATGTACTTCTTCCTCTCCAACCTTTCCTTTGTGGACATCTGTTTCACTTCCACCACCATGCCCAAAATGTTGGTGAACATCCAGACACAGAGCAAGATCAGCTATGCAGGCTGCATCACCCAGATGTACTTTTTATTGCTTTTTTCAGGGTTGGACATCTTTCTGCTGACTGTGATGGCCTATGACCGATACGTGGCCATCTGTTACCCCCTGCACTATATGGTTATCATGAACTACTGGCTGTGTGGATTGTTGGTTCTGTCATGCTGGATTGTGGGTGTTCTGAATTCCTTGTTACATACTTTCATGGCATTGCGTCTGTCCTTCTGTACTAACTTGGAAATCCCGCACTTTTTCTGTGAACTTGATCAGGTGGTCCACTGTGCCTGTTCTGACACCTTTCTTAATGACATGGTGATATATATTACAGCCATGCTGCTGGCTATTGGTCCCTTTACTGCCATCCTTTATTCTTACTCTAAGATAGTTTCCTCCATACGTGCAATTACATCAGCTCAGGGGAAGTATAAAGCATTTTCCACCTGTGTGTCTCACCTCTCTGTGGTCTCCTTATTTTATTGTACACTCCTGGGAGTGTACCTTAGTTCTGCTGTCACCCAAAACTCACACTCAACTGCAATAGCATCATTGATGTACACTGTGGTCACACCCATGCTGAACCCTTTCATCTACAGTTTGAGGAATAGAGACATCAAGAGTGCTCTGAAAAGACTGCTTGGGAGGGCAATAAAAAGAGGACCAATAAATTCACCTCAGTAGAAATGTTTATGGTTTCTGGATCCAAGTTTTGGAGTCAAAATTTCAATTCTTTGATCATACAGTACAACAAAAATTTGTTCCCTTTACTTCCTGAATTTCCATTTCCTTGCATAATTCTCTGAATGGTTTAAGTAACTCACTTTACTAGACTTTCTCTTCTTTCTAATATCTAGACTTTTTTGTCATTTACTGCTCTCCAAAACTTGTTTCCATTCTTGGAGCAGAAGTGTTTGGCAATTCTCATTTCTACTACAGAATGTAGACTTCTTAAGAATAATTGCTTATAGCACTTGGGAGCCTGCAACAGGAGGATAGCCAGGAGTTCAAGGTTAGCCTGAACTACCTAGTTACACTGTCTCAAAAAGAGGTGTAAATATTATTTTATAAAGGAATAATTGCTTATTGTATAACATATCACATTGTGTAAATTTTCTTTTGTTTGCTAAAGAAACAGTCATGAGTTTTACTATTTCTATAGGAAAATTCTACTTGGCAACTAAAGTCATTTAAAAATTTGAATAAATAGATGGACACTATTTGACCTTACAATCAGGAATGACCTCAAATATGACAAAGAAAAATTTTAAACTAGGTAAATTTATTGCTATGGAAAATTATTTTGTTTCCATATTCTATTTTTACTCATTGTATTGTGTAGAGTCATCCATGCGGAAGAGAATTTATTAATTGTATTGCAGAATTAGCTGATATATTTTCTTGTTTTATTGAGTTATCTTCCTGTTGCTGCTCAGAAATATCTAGTTCTGTATACAAATATTACCCCTCTCATTACTCTAAATGAAAAGTCTCTTCATCAATACCATCCTTCATAAAAATCCTTTTTTCTCTTTGCTAGTGCTGGGGATGAAACTCAGAGCCTTGTATATGCTACCAAGTGCCCTACCCACTGAGCTAAATTCCCAGCCTTATATGTGTCCTTTATCCTCAGGAATCACTTCAGTTTCTATGATCCATTTCTGACTCAGAAGGGAGCATGACTTCCTTCCCAGCTATGTGATTTAGAGTCAGCAACTTCCTGTGCACACATACATGTCCTTCCAACATCTCTGCTAGGGAATCTCACTGTGGTCACTTCATAATACAGTGATGTGAAGTAAGCTTGAATAGCAGAGTAATTATGAGTGCTGTCATCAAATATCAGAATAAATGTCAAGATTAAGTAACATATTACTTTTATTGCCTTGTTCTTTTTCCTTTTGATTATTGCATTAGTTAGATTTCACTGAATATAAAGCTATTTTAAAATCAAATGGCTCAATATGATACCACTATCATCAAATACAGTGCACAGTGGGAAGTTCTTCTGACCACTGCTGGTTGCCTCACAAGTCTGAATTCAGCCACGAGTTTGTACTGTGTGTTTCCAAGGCTCATTCATGACATTGTAGGCAAATCTAGAATTTCCTGTCTGGAAATGATGTTTGTGGACAGTTTACTCATTTCTACATTGATATTAATCTGGTTTCCATCAAAATAAACTTATCAATGTTAACTACCTTTCTTTAATTCCACTGTTCCTGCAACTGTATTTAACTCTTCATGTTTTCTTCCCAGTTAGAGAAGATAGCTGCACCTTTCTTAAACGTAACTAGTCTTCTTTGCCCCATATTCTATCTTGTGTCCTGCAACATGCATTTAAAATTTTTTAATTTCTTATTAGAGAATAATGACATGTGACAATGTGCAGAGATTTGATGTATTCAATTTGATGAATTAAAAGAGTCACACAGAAATGAAGACAACATACGGCATAGTTCAATTTGTGTGCAACTTGAGTAAGTGTTCAATAAAATTTAACTGCTTTTCAGTATAACTGCTAAAAAATTAATGTCCTTGATATACCCTATGGATGGAGAGGGAGATCATTATTTTAAGTGAAGTAGGTCAGGCACATAGAAACCATGCTGTCTGCTGTTCACTCATGCAGAATCTACACAAGTTAATCTCACTAAATTAGAGATAGAGTGGTAGTTCTGGAGACTGAGAGACTAAAGAGGATGGGCAGCTGAGGAAAAGATATCACTGAGTACTAACTTACAGTGAGGAAAAGGAGAAATTTGTTCTATTATTGCTTGTACTACAACTATAAAAATGATAATGTACTGTATATTTTTTTAAATTCTGAATAAAAACTTGTTTTCACTACAAAGGAATAATACTTATTAGAGGAGACAGATATGCTTACTCTGATTAGGACATTACACAATGTGTTCATATTTTGATACATCAGGTGGTCCACTACAATTAAATATAATTTTATGCATTCATTAATAATTCATTTAAGGAGCATTCATGTTCCTGTGAGAAACATGTTCACTTGTCCAGACCTGAAAAATTGACTCACAGGCATGAAAAGCAGAGAAAGTGAGGATCTGAATTTGGTCTTTCGAGGCTGGAACAACCTGGGTGTTTATAACAAACAGATTAGCATGTCCCTTCTCCTAATTTCTCATTGTCTGAGTACTATGGAGACACAACCTTCCCTGCTGTAGCCTAAGTTTGCTTTTTCTCTTTACAAGGCAGTTCCCCAGTCTCCCTCCCAATGTGAGACTGGATTTCCTCATGCTACTGTCATAATACTGGGACATTTCCACAAGCAGATGTTCCTGTTTAGAAGTTTTATGCAACATTGCTCTTACTGTTTCCACTTAGCCTTAGGCATTTTTTCATCAGAATTGATTGTTCTTTGCTTCTCTTCTGCCTTTCCCACTCAAGACTACATTTCTCAACCAAGGCGTTTTACTAGTTTCTTTCTCTCCAATGTTCTGTTTACTTAGGGACCTTCCAGATGCATGAGATTTGTCACAGCCACAAGCCATTGGGTGACTTAAATGACAAGTAATTTTCCACTCAGAGTTAACTACTTCATCTTGAAAGTGGATCATTTTAGCTTTCTTTTGTTATATCATGAGCCACATTTCCTTTTTTTTTTTCTTAAATTCTTTTATTAGTACATTTTAGGTACACAACACAATTACATTTCTCATTGGGAACTTGTATCTTTACATGATGCATCTTGGTTCTTA